ACCATGATGAAAGAAATGGGTAGTTACAAGCAGTTGCTAAACGATCAAAACTGCCCAAGCCGTATAAAAGAAAGAAGAAGACAACGAAGAAAGCCCCGACAAAATTCACTCTCAAAACAGAGAACATGTAATTTACTTTTCTTAGATTAATTTTTAATTACTTCAATTCCCTTGTACTTGTGTGCTTGCGCCCCTTGGAGGCATCTTGTTCGTATCCAAACAGTAATGTTCATGTTCAATAAACACCCCTTTTGGGACTTTGTTCCAAGAGGTTTGTCCCTTACACAATCGTCTGATCCCTTTTTAATTGTTAGCGAGCAAAAACGCGCGAAACAAATTGTTACAGGAATCCATTGGCCAGAATATACTTAAAAACGAGTTATTAAAACAACAAACATTTGTTTTTTTATCTTGTCCATACCACAAATTCTACCAGATTAAAGCATACATTAGTTACGTGAGAATCCAACACATCTAATACACTACATTAACTTCAAGAAAATTCAGCCCGGGCAAAGATTAGTAATTATAAATTTTATATATAACTCAGAAATACTAACATATAATTTTTAAGTAAATATTTAACTTTTTAAAGTTAAATATCAATTTATATGTACATATGACTAAATTATCAATTATAAATAAAAACTTTCTTATAAAAAATCGTAAATTCAAAATTTAACCAAGAGATGTGTATAACTTTATTTAAAAAAAAAAAGAAAAACTTTTAAATAATATTTCCAACTATATTAATTACCTTTTTTAATACGTTTGAAAATGGAAACAAGCATGGGTGAAATTTAATATCGACAAACACATTAATATACCATGTCAAAATAACTGCATTTAGCGTAGCCATTCAGATGCGGAAAGAGAAGTGTTCAATTCTATGCATAAGTCCACTTCCAACAATATTTGATTCAAATGGATGAAGTATGGCATCAATATAAATAAAAGCGAGTCAAACTCTATGTCTTTATTCCTCCCCTCTTCTGCTTCTTATCCAACTCCTCAAAGTCGGGCTGTGGGGACTGGACCCTATTTTCGACAGTCAAATAACCCTCTAATAGCGTCATTCCCAAGCCAAAAATGAGAGCCGAGTGTGAAGCTGGGCCAAGGCCTCAGCGCATCTTGAGAAATCCGGCAGCACCGGCATCAGAGAGGATGGAAGTCCATGGATCATCCTTCTGCCTTACATGTATCATAGAACTTTCCAAGACAGACGAAAGACCACCGAAGATGCCACAGTTGCTGGTACAACGGGGGGCGTTCACGCGTACAGGTTGTAAGCCCTGGATGAAGGGCTCACCTTTAGGGGAGTTGTACATGCCTTTCAACATGTAGAAAGTCGACCCGCCAACGATTACAAAGCGAAAATAATCGCCAGTCTGATCCAGTAGGCGATCAAACCATGGTTTGTCACATACCATTCTTGATTCTACATTCAATTAACTCCAATCAATTTGCATATAAATAACAAGCAAACTAACTCAAATTTAAACTACAGAAAATAACACAAAATTGGTTAATTGTAAAGTTTTATCAACATGTAAACGAAATTAATCTAAAAGAGAGTAAAAACCATAGACGTAACTAATCGGAAATAGCAGAAAGCAGTAAGAAATCATAAACCCTGAAAAAATTCGATTTAAAGATTAATAAGGAGGCTTGGGTTGGTGAAATAGATTAGGAGTCTCCACATTTAATCTAGTTTTCGGATGTCATAGAATATTTATCTTTTCTGTTATTAATGATAATGTGTTAATCAATCCTAAATTAACCCCCATAAAATTAAATTTAAAAGACAATCATTGTGTATAGTATACAATAGAGAGAAGGAACAGGGTTCCAGCTAAAAAAAAAAAAAAACTTTTCATATATTTTAATTTCGAAAATTTAAAATTCACCGAAGAAAAACCTTAAATTCCATACTTACATGATTTGTTATGAAAGAGACGAATTTTACACCCCACCCCCACTCACCCACCCCACTCCCACCCCTCCCCAACATCAAAATCTGGCCGCCCACGCCACTGTGGCCGCCGCAAATGCCACCACCAAATTTTTAGCGTAGTCGACAACCAAATTTTTATTTTTATTTTTTTTATCCATTGCCATGAATTGAACCTTCATAGAAAATTTATCTTGCGGCATTTCTTCAATTCAACCATGTTAATTTATTCATAAATTTGGGATATATTGTGGCAAAAGCTATAAGCACCTAAAAGAATTGGCATTGGTTCCACCTAAATTCAACTGGCTTGTCTTGCTAAACTTTTACTTTTAGCTGTACTAGCTTGTAATTCACATTCCTTCATGTAAACAAAATCCAGAAAACTTCTTAACTCCAATTCAACAGTAGGCACTCAAATTTCTTTATTTATGCCTTTACGAAATATTTAATAGAGAGAATTGGATACAGAAAAATATTAAAATCTTGGTCATTATATAGCCGAGTCATATTTAGTACACATTAATGAATATGACCTTGAATTGAAAGCTTTAGATACAAAATGGGTTTAGCCGGGACCGGGCCATTAGGCCCAGACCGATAACAAAGCTGGGCTAGTTTAGGCCCAGTATTGGGCCATCTCCATTTCAGCTACCGACCCAATAACGGAACTTTTTAGTTACATTGTTCAGCTATATTTAATTTAACGTAACAAACCTTCAACAATATTTCAGGTTTAGTCATGCTCCGAATTCAATAATTCAATAAACATGACCCGCTAGTGTGCGGATTTAGAGAGAACTAATATGTAACATCATTTTTATGTTTCTGAGCCTCTCGTCCTTTGTCCCGTTCCAGGATATTATTTTTCTATGGAGGACTATTTTTTTTGAAATCTTGTAAGGAAAACTATTTTGATGTCTAATGAATGCATATTCTAAAAATCGAAAGTACACAAGGCTGGAATTAACTTATTTGAAGATCAGGGAAAGCACTTCTTTTTATAAATTATGCAGCTTTGAGATCTTATAGTAAAAATAGTAGTCACTTATTTAAACATAAAATGACATGGGAATAGTTATACCTTGGAAGCAAGAGTCGGGAGTACAGAAGAAGGCAAATCCGATACTATTTTCCCGAATGAGATAATCCTTCCATATTTAGATGGCTCTTGTACTTGGAAAAGCCTCTGATTGTCACTGTTATTGCCATTGTTGTCAAAATCTTGCTGAAACTTTTTCTTTGCTGAGTCACAAACATGATGTTCTTCCGGAGACCAATCCAAGTTACCCCATATCGTCTCTCCTCCTTTAGGTATCAAAGAAATGACAGAATCTCACGTTCGAGATACACGCATGACATGATGTAGAGTTTGAAGGCCGAGAATTTCAAAATCTAGAAGACCGGGAGCCATTGCTCTGCAATATCATATGCAGAAGAAATAATGGGCATGAGCACGATGAAAATAAAATGACAAGATTATACTTAATTGGATGAGGTTTAATTTGAATGCATAATATGGAAAGAAACTAAGCTGATAAAAGCAACATCTTTGCTCTCAGGCTGACAAAATGTTACTGACAGCTTTCGGAACACCAAGAAATGTCGGACCGATATTCATGATTGATTTTATGTGCTTGGCACACCAGCCTGGGCCACCACCTCCTCCCATAGGTGGAGGCGCTTCAACCCATTTAAGGAATTCGAGTTCTAGACACGAGATCGGATTTGATTCCACATCGGAAGTTCGAAGATGAAGCACAAGAAGTTATTCAGACTACCGATTGGGCCGAATGAATCACTTCTAGGAATTCAGACTATCGATTGGGGATCGCTTCTAGGGTTTCAAAGAGACGGTCCAAAGTTTCTCTCTCTTCGCTCTCTTTTCTTCATTTTATTCCGTTAGATTTGCCGTTCTGCCGTTAAAACAATAAAAATCAGTTAGATTTTCCGTTAAAACAACAAAATTCCGTTAGATAGCCACTTTATATATAGAAGAGATATAAAACCGGCTTGAGTTATACTTCATTGGAATTAAGGTTAATAAGATATGATCGATCAAAGGCAAAAAATGTATATCCTCTGTTTGCAAAATTTACCTCTGAAAAAATAGCCTCCAATCATATGCAGCCATGTACATGTTCTTGCCCTCGTAGCCCATGCGGGCTAAATTTTCGATAAGAATAGCCCAAACAAAATATCCCGGAGCAAAATAGTCCTGGAACAGCATGAACCCTAATGCCTGGTGGATCGAGCCCCGTCTCATTGTCATCTCATCGTCCAAAGATAGATGCTCCAACCAACACATAGGCCTAAAATCCATTAAAATAAACAGTTGGGTGCGACAATCTCAATACAGATTTCAACCTCTTAAAGCCTAACTGTTAGGGAGCATACAAACTTATTTATTTAAATTATCATCAACGCGTCCCACATAAAAACTGATTTTCTCATGAAAGTCGTGCGCGTGACGGTGTGACAAACTTCGTATTTTACTAGCGCGATTCCATGTCAAACCAGGACAAGCTTATTTGTTTGAATTGTATTTTTAACTTAAGCACATAACAAAATGAAAATGTACAAAATACCTCCTCAAAATTTCAGTAAAGCTACCTCCCCAAAGCTGCCTGCAAAAAGGGCCCTCGGAACATGGTCTGCCCTCCCAGAGCTCAAGTCCTCCGGTGACAATGCCGGGCACCATCACAACCGGGTGGAGAGCATCCAATCCTTTGTCTCCTTCGTGCTCGAGCCTCATCCCTGGGGGTTCGGGCACCTTAAGTCCAGGAAAATTTGCAGGCAAACAATTGAACAGAAACAAAAGGAGTCACCAAATAGTGCAAATGTAACCAAATGCCTAACAGGCATCTCCATTCCTTGTTAGGCCAACTTCTTCTCTTCTGATAAACCCTTGTCCTTTTTCTCAATTTTGGGGATTCCAAACGATTTCTTCTCATCATCTAACTTAATTTGTTCCTCTTTTTCATTAAATTCATTACACTTCACAGGCTCCAGAACACATAGCTTTTGAAATCGTAGAATTGAACCCATTGCATAAAAAATTACAAGAATTTATAGACTATGAAGATAGTAGTCGTCAAAATCCCGATTGAGAAAAAGTAGGCACCCAAATGGTATTGAATTGTGAGAAAATGAATTTTCAAGAATCCAAATAATTAAGTACGAAAGTGGGTGGTGATGGCAGGAGTAGGGTGGTGCAAACCACATGGTGGAGGAGGTGATATGGAGGTGTCTATAGGTGCATAAGAAAACAACACATTACACTAGTAGATTGAGTTGAAAACAAGAAGAAAAAAGGAAACTTCGGCATATTAATTTCTTCATCAAGAATATTTTTGTTGCCAATAATATTATTCCAATTTGTGGTGTTATATGATGATGAAACCAAAGAGCGCACACTCACAGTATTTAGGAAACTTGTATTTTCATGCAAAAACCTCCTTCAGCCAGGGACGGACCCAGCAAACTATCCCAGCCCGGGCGGACGTTGACCGGTCAACGTCGACTCGTAAGAGTGAAGTCGTTTATTAATATTTAATTCCATAATCTTAAAAATTATTCAATATATATATAAATGCACTAAATAGCGGAACCCGTAAGATCACAGAAAGAATTGAAGTTACTTACAAGGAATCTGGGAGTAACAAGAGATTTGGGTAGCAGTTTGGCAGCAAGGATTCTGCCTGGTGATTGAGAGAATCTGGCACTGCACGTAAAAAAACATTGCTGGTTACCTAAATGCTAAAATTTAATCATCCGCATAAGCAAAATCAAATGAAAAAATAACATTAAATGCTGCAAATGAACTAAAATGCCCATTATTTCCATTTGAATTCGAAGCATGTTATTGAGCATAAATTCTGATATTACCCGCTAAATTTGGTGATGAAGATGAAGTTCCATCCTTGTTGGAATTACTGGAAGACAATGGGTAGCGGGGGATGAACACTGCTATCTTTTCCCTCTCAATCCTGCATAAATAGTCCTAAATTTTTAGTGCAAGCAATACCCACGCCAAAAGCCAATTGCCGTTTCAGTAGCAAGTAGCAAGACAACGTACATAACTATAATCTCCAGACTCCAATTAAATAGCGATATATATATTCAAATTACTGAAAAGGAAAATGAAAAATCAATTAACCTTGCTTTGCAGCCAATCGGGCCAAAATCATCAAGAACTATATCGAGCTAGTCCAGAACTTTAGGCTTTAACAAGCTTCTGGCTTCAACAAACAGGAAATAAACACGACAATCGGCAACAACATTCAATAATATGCTACCAAACTATACTCGAAACAAGTAACGTAGATTTTACAAATACAAAAAATGAGCAGGTCACAGACAGACTCACGTCACTTACCAGTCGCAACGCATGCACCGGCCATCGCAGTCGCAGAGGCTGAGTTCGTAGTTCGCATTCGCAGCCGCAAGGCAGTAGCCAACATGAGGGTTTGCCTGATTCAGCTGTGTTTGGGACGTATTTGGCATGGGAATTGGGATAGTGGTAAATGGTTTGATGGGCTTGGACCTGTTAATTGATTTTGAAATTAAGATTTGGGCCTAATTTTTTTTTTTGAAAAAGGGGCCCAATCAAGAGGACCAAAACTTTAAAACTAAAAAACCACCCAATTTGAAAACCTGCTCATCAAAACCACCCAATTTGAAAACCTGCTCATCTTCTTCAGTTCTTCCACCTGGCGCCTCTCTGCAATTCAACTGTTCAAGCTTCCGGCCAGGAGAAAACTGAAGCTCCCGGCGGATCCAGCACGGGCGGCCGCCCCCCGTCGCCGGGTGCTGGGTTCGTCTCTGCCTTCAGCCGTTATCACGCTGTATTGTGAGTTATGTTTTGCCTTTTTTACCCATCTCTCTCAAGTGGAAATCTCTCTCTACAAATAAATATACCCCTACAATGGTTAAGCTAAAACCTCAACCTAGCTAATTCCAACAATCAATATAGCTTTTCTTTAAATTTTAACAACTAACAAAACGACTGAATTTATTGAATTCAATAACAGTGAAGTCGAATTACAGAAATAGAGAAAGTAAGACAGAGTTAAGAAAGAGACGAGAAAGAGAGAGAAGATAGAGAGAGATTTGGGAGGGAAATTCACACCGAACAACTTACACCTTTTCCCCTCTTCTCCATCTCGTTATAACAGAAGAAAGTTGCATTATTCAACTTTCAAAATAATATAAAACGTGTTCCCTATTATAATTGAAAGTTTTAGCTCAAAACAACACCGTCTCGTTCTAGTTCAGTAACCGGCAGTAGCTCTTCTTCCCGGCAGCAACTTGATTCCTTCTTCCCGGTATTCCTCTTGCCTTCAACTCATTAATTTTAACCATGTGGAACCTAAACAAAAAAGGCGCTAAAAAAATGAGAACGTGTTACGAGTCAACTCGACCAAATTGGGTATAAATAGTATATATTTATCACCATTTCTATTTATAGTTCACATCAAATTCTCAACAATAATGTCAGAATCGAACTTGTCTCAACGGGTGAAGTTACTGATTTGTAATTAGCTAAATTAATGAATTTAAACAAATGAATGAATTCTGCTGGATATATAAATGAAGGTATAAATAGTATATATTTTTAGGTGTTGCTCTCGATCTGCTCACTTTTGACGGCAATTTGGGTATAAATAGTAAATATTTTCCGATCTGCTTTACTTTTCCGATTTGATTTGGATTTGAGTGGTAAAGTTACTGATTTGTAATTAGCTAAATTTCTATAATTTTCTACAGTAACTTATCAGAGTCGGGGTTGTAACACTTTCACATTTTTCAAAATTTCTTCGTGTGGCGTATTTATACGTTTGCTCTTTGACTCGGGCTTATACCATGCTCTTCCGATGAAGTTCCACAATCATTTTACTGAAAGGGTAACTGAAATCAATAAGAAACTCATTAATGTGGATGATCGGAAATTGGAATAGGATTGGGAAAAAGTTATGGGAAAAAAGGGAAGAAATATTCCAGGAAGTATTGGGCATTGTGAAAGGTATATACGACAAGACTCAAGATGAAAGAATACCTAAGAGCCGCCGCAAACCCCGCACTCCAGTTGAAGAAATTGGAGTGCTTGATATAGTTGAATTTATTGTCCTCACATTGCCATGAGGCAGTGATAGAATCAAAATAAAAACTAATATGCGTAAATAAATCTAACTTGAAAGTATAGAGTGTGCCGCAGCCTGTCAATTCTCATTACAAGATAGCAAAAACCAATTGAGAATAGTCATTTATCAGTTCTGTTATGTGGGATTGTTGGGTGTTAAAATAATATTGCTGGACCAAGGATGAGATTTTAAGCAACAGCGTAGAGAGTAGAAAAATCGAGTAGAAGTAGACTTCTAAAGAAAAAGTGGATGAACATCTAAAGAAATTACCAGAGTTCAATCATCTTCTCTTTGCTTGTTCCAACATCGATCTCAAGGATAAAATGTACGAGTGTTTTCAATGGCCAAGGAATACGAGTGTTTTCAATGGCCAAGGCTCGTGAGAAAAATAAAAACAACTGAATCAAATGCCAACACCGTTGAATCTTCTGCTACTCCCCTGCAATTGCATTCCATGCACAAAACATAATGTCAATTTGGACAGAGTATATCGAAATTGACAAATTGTGAAGATGCAAATGTTTGGGAGGTTTAATGCCAAGATTTAAATGTTCTGACCAAATTTGTAGGATCTGAAATATTTTTGACAGTTTTCCAAAAAGGAATGAACTTACCGGATTCGCTCAAGACATACCGGTTATGAAAGAGCTTACCGGATTTGCAAAGAGCTTACCGGTTTTAAAGAAAACAAGGCACTTACTGTATTTACACTAAGCTCACCTTATTTGCAATTGGCTTACCGGATTCGCTTAATCCATTCCGATTTTGCTAGAGAAAGGAAAAATACTCCCTTTTTGGGTTAAAACACTGAAATTACCGTATTTGGCACTTCCTTACCGTATTTTCTTGCTTCTCACCAGATAGTGTTAAAGCTCACTGGTTTTATCAAAAAATGCTATGTTTTTCTTCAGCTTTTCCCAGCTTGTTTTCAGCCTTTTTTCTTCCATTTTTTAATGGCTAAGGATCAGTTTTTCAGCTCTAATCTTCAAAGATCAATTTTTCAGCTCTGAAACCTTGCAAGCCTACCGGATTTTACCCTTCACAGCTTCATTTTGCACCGAATTTTCTCTGTTTTTCTTGAACCCTTGACAGCTCCTTTTCTTCTTCCTTTTACAGCTTCTGGTCTCATTTCAAAGATCATTTCAGCTCTGATACCATGTTAGATTTTTATGATTCAAAAGCTTTAATAAAAAGCTCTAACAAACAAACATATTTGTATTGATAGAGAGGATGTGAAGGAGGACAAAAACATGGTTTATATATACCGGTTATTGAAGTAACCGGATATTGCACACAACAAAAACATATACTCTACTAGTTTTATGAACTCATAGAGGAGAAGGAAGAATTCTAACATATCAATCATCATTTCATTAAACAATTTCCTTCTATATTTTTCATACAACTTGACTCTATATATAGCCAAACTTGAACACATGGTCAAAGATTTTTTTACCAACTATTCTATCAACTACCATACTACTCTTACACATATCATACTAACTTCTATCACACACTAACTTGTCTAACTTTACATCATTTCATAGTTAGACTTAAACTAAAAATATGTAACTAAATGTTCTACCAAAAATACATTTAGTTATGTGACAACAAAAATGTCACAACTCCAACGGTTTGGAGTGAAAATTTTAGCGAATTTGGTACCTAATAATGAACAAAACTAGACACGATAATGAATAAAATATTAACTATTTTTTCTTCTTTAATATTATCTATTAATACATACCAAACATGAATTTATATCATGATTTCAAGCGGATCGCTCAACTTTTTTTTTTTAAGTTACTTAAATAATACTTTTACTTCAACTATTTACTCATTCCAACTCTTTTATATAGAAATAGAAAAACGATATAAATATTGATATGACATAAATAAATTTGAACTAAACGGAGATTAATACGATAACTAGACTAGTATAAAAGTGTTAATTCAATAATTCATCGTAGAAAAAAAATGAAATCTGATTGCGTATATTAATAGTTTATACAACATTTGAGGAAAACTCTAAATACTAATATAATTGAGCAAGCATCACTACACATAGTTTTATGAATTTGTAGAGATGGATTTTTGATAAATTGCCCATAGTTTTCACTTTTAGCGTAGTCGACGACCAAAATTTTTTTTAAAATTTTTTATATCCATTGCCATGAATTGGGCAAACCTTCATAAAAAAATTTATCTTGTGACAATTCTTCAATTCAATCATGTTAATTTATTCATAAATTTGTCACGTGCTCATCACGTGTATTAATCCAATCTGACCGACCTCCGAGCTTGGCATGTCAACAGATACCCCCTAGGTCAGAACAGACCTAGGTGTGGATTGACCTAATGAAGTGACTGGTACAATTCCCAATTTCTATAATCATTGCTTCAATTAATGACAATGACACATGTCATTCTTTTATTTGCATATGAGCTGTATGGTAGGTTCCTCCTTCTTCTAGAAGCGCAGGCTTGTGACCATGATTTCATTATGAACGATTCAAATTTCGCCCCTTGATATTCTTTTCTTTAAGTAGTTTTTCACTTTTCATTCCCTCACATTTTGCATTTGAGTTTTTAGACTCTTTTCTCCAAAAAAAATTTGCTTTTCCACCTTCTTTGAGTGAGGTCGTCTTCATCCAGGTATTCCTTTCTTTTAATCAGAATACCCTTCTTTTTACGCTTTTATTTCCTTTTTCTCATTTGCTTATATGAGTTCGGATGAATCTTACGTGCGGTCCTGGGGAAATAATCAGGAAGAGTCTGTACCATCTTCATCTACCCCGTCCGTTAATCCCTCATTTGCCAGTTCGGATTTCAGGAAGTTTTTACTCATGTTCCTATTTCTTCTTTTTACCCTCATCAACCCAGTCCAGTCCTCTATCTAATTCTCCTAGGAATATAGAACATTGTCGAAAAATGAGAGAAACGAGGGCTCAGGGGAAAGGTCGTAGTGGGAACCAAACATTGGGGGGCTGATTCCCATTGGTTGGTAGTTACAGCGGACACCCAAGTTGCTATTAGGGCTAAATATAATGTACTTTCATCTGTAGAACTAATCATCCCATCTTCTACAGACAGAGCTCATGATCCCCCACGGGGTGTGTGGCCCTCAATACAGCTATCTTCTAGGCTGGGTTGAGGCTCCCCTTTCCCAACGTTACTCTTTTCATCTGGGGAATAGCCCCTACTCAGCTTTGCCCAAACGGGTGGAGAACCTTGATTGCGACCTTAATTTTATAGAAACAATTAGGACATCCTGAACTGAGTGTAGCCCAATTTAACGTCCTTTTCACCTTAAGGAGGATGAGAAAAATACTGGCTGGTGGTATACCAGCGTTAGACCTAAAACTGGGGGACCTTTAGTTTTAGATACCCTTTCTTCAATTAAAGGGTGGAAGGAAGAGTTCTTCTACGCCTTGGGGGATTGGCAATTCCATCCTGCCGAGGTGGATAGAGAGGAGGTATTTCTTATCCTTTATCATTCTTTCTGTGAGTGACTGTTATCTCTATTTTCAGGTTCTGTTTTAGAATCGTTATTCTGATTCTCTTTCTTTTCTCTTTTTGCAGTTTACCAACTCTGCCATTTGAGCTCAGTTCTTCAAAGACAGGCAAATACAATTCGGGCTCTTTCCAACAGGCAAAGATCCTGTAAATTCGTCATCTTAGTCGAAAACCTATTCCAAGCAGGTTTACTTCCAAGCAGACCTTTCACTTCGGTTCCTACCTCCTCTCGTAAGTGAACTAAATACTGTTGCATATGTGCATATGTGTATATGTATGTTTCGATCTCAATACTGACATCTTATCATTTCTAGGTCAAAGTCCAGAAATGAGGAGCTTTCGCATAGCAAGGGCAGCCCAAGCAGCTGAGGCTACTAAACAAAAATAAAAAGAAGTTCATGTAGAGGACCAACCTGATGAGGTGGAGTCTGAAGTTGAGGCTGAGACTGAACAGCCATTGAAGCGACGCCACTCTTCCGAGCTAGAACCTATTCCAGTTCCTATTTCTCCCTTACCTCAGCCCGCTCCTACTCCCGTTGCTACCACCGTTGTTGATGCTGCCTCATCTTCAAGGCCTTAAGAGAGTTACCCTGACTTGTAGAGGCCAGATGTGGAAGGCCTGATGGAGAGCAGACCTGAGATTTTTTTGGATTTTCTTCGGGCTCCTTTTCCATCAAGAGAGTCAATCGTTGCTTTGCCTTCTCCTTTGAGAGAATCTACGACCTTGATGTTTCGAAGTTGGAACAATAGGGAGCAGACGTTTCTTTCTGAGATGCCCGTTGGAGAGAGCATCATTTCAGCTCAGCTCCATTGCCATCGAGCAGTTCTTCAAATGGCATCTGTGACAGAAAAGGTAAGTTTTTTTCCCTTCTTGAGACTTCTTTATTTAAATTATTCATGCCACATAATTAAATATTTGTTCTTTTAGGTCAAAGCTGAGCTAGACAAAATGCTCGAAGTGAGGGATCGAGCTAATATGATGTTTGAGAAGATCGAGGTAGAAAAGGCAGCCTCACCGAGAAAGAGAAGGACTATGAAGATCGTCTAAATAAAATGGGAGTGGAACTTAATGCTGCTATCTCTTCGGAACGTAGGCTGATAGACGATAATAAGGCCTTGAAGATCTGGGGTGAAAAGGTCAGCATCTAAGCTGAAGAGGAGAAGAAAAGAGCTGATGAAGCAACTGCTCAAGCTATGACTGCCAAAAAAGATGCGGAGCTACAGATCTCTAAGGTTGTGGAGCATTGGAGAGCCTCCCTGGAGTTTGACGCCATAGCTTAAGAGGCATATGTCTTGGCCATCGACGAGATCATCCAGCACATTAACAAGGAGTGGTCGGATTGTAACACCGCTTTCTTGGATGAGGCCCATAAGGAGCAATAGAAGGAAATGGAGCAGCTACTCAAGGTAGCTAAGGCCCAGTCCACTTCCGAAGACATAGCTTCCTAATACCCCCCGCCCCTTAACTTTTTATGTGTTTTTCTAAGTAAAACTTTTGCTTTTAGGAACTCTTTTTTGTAATGTTTCAATTCTTATGAATGAATGAAAATTTCTGCTCTAGTGTTTTTGGGCTTTATATTTGAATGATGCTTTTCAAACGTATAAAACCTTTTATGATACTAAAGTCGCAACACGTATAGTCTTGATTTGCTTTGTGAGCAGAGCTCAAGATATTCTTTTTAGGAATCTTACTAAGTGTTGTAGCACCTGCAACTTTACAGGAATTCACACTAAGTGTGGCAGCACTTACAAACATAGCTCAGCCTGCTTTGTGAGTAGGGCTTTTAGGGATTCCTTTGCAGGAATTCGCACTAAGTGTGGCAGCACTTACAACCTTAGCTCGGCCTACTTTGTGAGTTGGGCTTTTAGGGATTCCTTTGCAGGAATTCGCACTAAGTGTGGCAACACTTACAACCTTAGCTCAGTCTACTTTGTGAGCATGGCTTTTAGGGTAGTATGCCAACATCTTCATATATTAGGGACATCCTTCTTTTTTTTTATATTACGAACAACTACAAAATACAATCCTCTTTAACTAGTAGTATTTTTTGAGATGTTCTGAATTCCAAGGATGTGGAAAGAGTCTCCCTTTGATTTCTTCCAGTTCATATGCTCCTCTAAGCAGGACTCTGGTCACCTTGTAAGGACCTTTCCAGTTGGGTCCTAGAGAGAATATATCTAAAGTGACAAATTGTTACAAGATGCAAATGTTTGGGAGGGTTAATGCCAAGATTTAAATGTTTGAACCAAATTCGTAGGATCAGAAAATGTTTGGGACCAATTACGCCAATTCCAATATTGTAATATAATTTTTACTTTTAACTCACTCAATTTATTCTCCGGGCACAAAAATGTTGGAAAACACGATGATTTGAGGAATTGAGAGCGTCATTACATAAATTATAATAAAAGATATGAAAAAATGTGACAAGTTCCCCGCTTTCCTCATGTAGTAGTAATTAATAATAAGAGAAATTACATCGATTGAAAATATGAGTGTTATTCCATATGAAAACAACTTCTAACTATAAATTGCCAAATTTGAAACTTCTCTAACGTATGAACAATTTTCTTTCTTATCTTCAGATATATAATTGGTAAATTGGCAATCTATTTTGTTGCAACATCAAAAGAAATAAATGAACTCAAAATTTAGTTGATAAAAAATTAAAGCCATGATAATCTTTCGAGTCAAATTCCTCCAAATATGATTAACACGATATTCAATAAGGCAATTCTTAAATACATTGCTCACATGTTATTTATGTAGGATTAGTATTTGCTCGTCGCATAAATTCATTTGTTCTATTTTGAAAGAAAATATTAATTTCCTTCTTCGATAAATTATTTATATTAGTTTGAGCTTACATTTTGTTCATGGAACGATCTTGTATCAAAAATCAAGTACTTAAGTATTAAGTACATAAATTTGAATTGCTTTATTTTTTCGAATTTTTCTTATTGAGAGAATAGTTGAATTTTTAATTTTCTAATATGCCCTTAATTAACGTGGCTAGTTATCAAATTATATGCCACTTGTTCTTATTTATTATAGGGATATGCTAAGAAAAATGTAAGAAGAAATTATATTTCCAACTATATTAATTACTTTTTTAAATATCCGTGAACATGGAAACAAGCCAATATTTATTGGAATATAATATGTACTTCGGTGAAATTTAATATTGAGGAGATACGACAGTTAGAAGAAACACACTAATATACCTTGTCAAAATAACTGCAATTAGCATAGCCATTCAAGTCGTCGGTAGAATTCAGATGCGGAAAGAGATGTAATTCAACAAGAAGATTATAAGTTTTCAATTCTATGCATAATTACAAGGGTCCACTTCCAGCTATATTCGATTTAAACTGATGGAGTATGGCATCAATATAAATAAATATAGAAAAAGTGAGTCAAACTCTATGTCTTTATCCCTCCCATCTTCTATTTCTACATGATCTAAGACACAAGTAATTTGTACTCCATTCATTCCATGAAGATAGACTTACTTTCTTTTTACGTCTGTCGCAAATTATAGACAACTTTTCTTATTGAAAGTATAATTAAAATTTTTAATTCTCTAATATTGCCCTATTTAACGTGGCTTGTAAAGGTGATTATAGGCCACTTTTTCTTATATAATATAGGGATATGCTAACAAAAATGTAAGAAAAACAAGCCAATTTTTATTGGAATATAATATGTACTTTGGTGAAATTTAATATTGAGAAGATATGACAGTTGTTAGAAGAAACACACTAATATACATTGTCCAAATAACTGCAATTAGCATAGCCATTCAAGTCGGTAAAATTCAGATGCAGAAAGAGATGCAATTCAACAAGAATATAAGTTTTCAATTCTATGCATATTCACAAGTGTCCACTTGCAACAATATTCGATTTAAACAGATGGAGTATGGCATCAATATAAATAAATATAGAAAAAGCGAGTCAAACTCTATGTCTTTATTCCTCCCCTCTTTTGCTTCTTATCCAACTCCTCAAAGTCGGGCTGTGGCGACTCGACATTACTCTTGAGCTTATTTTCCACAATCAAATAACCCTGAACTAGTGACATTCCCAAGCCAAAAATGAGAGCCGTGCGTGAAGCCGGGCCAAGGCCTTGGCGTATCTGGAGGAATCCGGCGGCAGCAGCCTCAGGGAGGATGGAATTCCATGGATCATCCTTCTGCCTTACATATATCATAGAACTCTTGAGGACAGAACAAAGACCACCATAGGCGGCACAGTGGCTAGCACAGGCTGCGCTCATGCGTACAGCTTGCGAGCCCCAGATGAGGCGCTCCCCTTTAAGGGAGTTGCACATACCTTTCAACATGTCAACAGCCGACCCGCCAACGAGTCCCCAACAGAAATAATCGCCAGTACGATCCACTAGGTGATCGAACCATGGTTTGTCACATGCCATTCTTGATTCTACATTCAGTTAACTCTAATCAATTTGCATATAAATAACTAGCAAACTAACTCAAATTAAAAACTACAGAACATAACACAAAAATGGTTAATTGCAAAGTTTTATCAACATGTAAACAAAATTAATCTAAAAGACGGTAAAAATCATAGACATAACTAATTGGAAATAGCAGAAAGCAGTACGAAATCATAAACCCTGAGAATATTCTACTTAAAGATTAATAAGGAGGCTTGGGTTGGTGAAATAGATTAGGAGTCTCCACATTTAATCTAGTTTTCGAATGTCATAGAAGATTTTCCTTTTCTATTATTAATGATAATGGGTTAATCAATTCTAAATTCAGGCTCTATCCGAATTCACAAAAATATTAAGCAAACAAATAAAAAAAAAATCAATTCTAAATTCACCCATACAATTAAATTTAAAAGACAATCATTGTGTATAGTATACAATAGAGAGACCATTACAGCAAGGAAAGGGGATTTTGGTGATATATGAAAACAAAGTTACAAAAGGAAAAGGATTTCAACGAAAAAACTTCTCTTCATATATTTTAATGTCGAAATTTTGAAATTCCCCCCAAAAAAAGAAAAAAAAAATCTTAAATTCCGTACTTACATGTTCTTCTTCCGTCTAATTTGATTTGAAATTGAAGATTTGGATTCCAAGGATTGCTGAAGCTTGGAGGGCTTTCAAACCTAAATGTGAAAATGGTGAAATTAAATAAACAATCATAAAAAAATGTCTTCAAATTACAGAAAATTAAATATTATGGTAGATTCACACCGGTTAGTTTGTCGGAGAGATTGAGGTTTGAAGAATTAAAATTAGATTGTTTTGTTTGGGAGAAGAATGGAAGGTGAAGTAGGATATATGCGTGGATTCCAAATTTTTTGGGCCTTACAGTCATAGTTGTCAGACCCGACCTGGACACGGACCCGAACAATGCAGCGGGCCAGCGAATTAGTGGTTTGACCAGTAACCCAGTGGTTCAACCGGAAGGTCAATTCATGTCAAATATGTTATTAACTATTTTATTGAATAATAAAATTTTGACATTTTCTACACCTAACTAAATTGACCTTATGTTATTTAGGTGACTAAAGATCAATCTATATGTCATAATTCAACAAACTCTAGATCATATATAATGAAATATAGATTCGAAACAATAAACAATCACTGCTCAAAAACTACTTAATTTTGCAAAGTTCAACAAGATAACTTCATATACTATAAGAACATGCTTGCAAAAATAAAATCAACATTTAAAAGTTATTCATGCATTGTCAAAAGATACTTTAACCTTGTTACTAATGAAACAAATAGCACAACACAAAGATATGAACAGAAGCCTCTCTTTTCACCCCAACATAATTCTTGTGTCAATATATGACATAAAGTGGATGCCCGAATACCATTTCTGCTACTTGTTATGTACAGTGAATTCTCTAATTTCATATCAAATAACATAAAACTTGTATGAATTTAGAGGCCATCTAGGCTAGAATAATTCAAAGATCTTTGTTTTTTAGAATGTTCCAATCATGCTCCATCGCCACATCATATGCCTGACTAAAATAAAACACCAGCAAAAATGAAAATCGTCCATAAGCTAATCCTAATTCCCTAACTAAAATAGCACAACATAATATATGATAAAATAAAATCCGCCACAGAGTTTGGTACCATTCAGAAAAAATAAAAACTATTATTTTATCTTCCTTTTTTATGTACAGAATGCAGTGTCAATAATCAAATTAAGTGTACAGAACACAAAATGCAATGGCAACTTCAAACAATTAAAAAGGAGCTTCTTCAAGATAACAACTAGTGGAAATACTATATAGTTTAATAACCTATGTATTAAGGGGAAAATATCTGTTACGAATTCACAGAAATGATGAAGCTAACAAAAAAATCGGCCGGTCAAATTCTACCACGTAATTAAATTGAAAATACAGTTAAAATTTAGAACAAGGGGACCAAAGCAAAAAGATCCTCTTTTAACATATTTTAATGGTGTAAAATCGAACTTGAATTTTTCGAGGTTTGCTTTTTCTGAACTTTAAGTACTAGGATCCAGAGGAGACGATTTGGGCTTGTTTACATGATTCTGTGTCTTGAGCGACTATTGGAGGACAAAGGAGAGGGGCAACACCAGAATCCCTCTGGGGTCGCAGCAATTGGAACATGTCTAATCTTAGTTTGACCCTGTCCTACTCTTGTAAGTCTAATTTCAGCAAGAAATTCAACCCCTAAGTCAATTTTTGGCTCTTACAAATGAAAAAAAAAAGAATGTGGAAGAATTCCAACAAACATAACTCTGTAATTGACTGAAATATATGCGGAGAAAAAGTTCATACCAAATTTAAATTCAGATCCCAAAAGCAAACATAAAGTGCCGGCCTAAATTCCCTTACAATAGAATCTCTCTGCAAACACTGGTCTCAACTGGGGGGAAAAAAGCATAATCTTTATGACCAATAATGCAGATCTTCAAAAATCAGACAACCCAAAACGACAATTGGCACAAGAAAAAGGTAAATACAAAACACAATCTTCAAAAATGTTCTCTCTTTTTTTTTTTTTTCCCCATACAACTAGCTCAAATCTTAGTCCAAGGAATTTAATCTACCCATTATAATGGAATTCTAAGAAAACCCAGAAAAAGCACAAAGACTAACCAACAATCGCGAAATCTGAGAGGGCTATCTGAAAACCCAAATAGATGAGAGGCGCCGGTGATCGGTGATTCGGTGGTGGAAGGCGGCGAGACGGAGAGGCGGAGTTCCTAGAGTCGCCGGTCGCAAAGAGCTAAGAGGAGTACAACTTGTGGTTTGGAATATTTTCTTACTTTTTCTCAAATTCTTCCTTAATACGAACAATTAAATACAAGAATTCATCATCTATGAATGGAAAGTTTCCATCTTTTCTTGTATTTCCTTTCCTTGTTCCCTTTTTTTTTTTTTTTTTTTCAATTCTTTATTTTCTCGTGTTTTCTAGATTTTCTTTTCTTAATTCTTTACAACAAAAAATTCCTTTGGTTTTTCTTTTCCTTTTTATTTATTAAAGCATTTTTTTTTTTTTAAAAAATTATGTTAATCAAATTGAATTGTTCAAAAGTAATAATAAAAACAAATAGTCCTCATTAGACTTTATATACGTCTCAATATAATGAACAATTGATTATTCAATTTTGCCTACCATCATCTTACATTAGAATGGACATAGTATGAATTCTTTTAAAGTATCCTATAAACTTTTAAGTACAATCTAAAAAGTCACAAAATATATTCCTAAATATTCCTCTACAAATTTTAACCGCTCAATTACATTGAAATGTCCCTTAGGAATTTTTCCACTCTTCTTCGGTAGGCACAAGTTGAGATTCTCGTTGTTCTTTTTTCAAAACTTTTGAATTAACATCCAGATAAACTTTGATCGCAACAATACCTATTTAAAAAAAAAGATGTTTTTGAGCAATGCCAACCACTTCTAAAAGGGGAATCTATTTGTCCTACTATTTTTTGTTCAAAGTTCTCATCTTTTATCATCTATTATATAGGGGATATCTCAAAACACAAAAGACATGAGTGTGAACAAGAAATTGCGTGGGAATTGATTTAGTCAACCAAGAAATAACCAATCATTTTCCTCAATTTGGGATAGTCTTAAACTCACTTTACCCAGCCATTTCGGCCAATTCCAGTATGACAAATGAGTTCTAATAATTCTTTTCGTTCACACGAGGAAAAAGTAGTGTGTATTGGACCATTCAAATAGGAATTAAACTACTTGTACAATGAATTTGCACAATGATTTTAACAATGTGAGAGGTGTATAGATCATTACCATTGAATTCAAAAATAATCTTTCAAATCAATGGACATAATGCCTGCGAACTCACACATTGTCAAACTTATTGTCAAATTTATCGTACAAGTAGCATAGTTCTTCAGATAGAAAGGTAATTTGAATTGGGCGATTCAACGAAATGAGTATAATTGACGATTAAATGAATGAATGACTGAGATGTAATGATAATTGAACGGTTAGAATATTCTATTTTTAGAGATAAAGAACGGCGTGAAATTTAAGTTTTCGCTTTTTTTCAAAAATTCTCTAGTCAAGACAACTTTAAAACATGTCCTTGACACAATAGTTCACTAAACGATAGAAGGTAACACATTATAAGATGCTTTTATTTGGAAGGATTCGGCGGATGGGAATTTATATATTTTGGATGTATGGAATTCTATCAAGGGACGTCATTGCTAAATGAACATCTCTAAACTTCATATGGCATCATTCAATACAAAAAGAAAAAGTTCAACTTCTTCTGCTGAAATTATGGCACGAACGGATTCCAATTGATAGTGTAATTCAAGGGAGGATGAGAGCACAATTAGCCTCTAAATGTTGATTGCAACACTGCCATGGAAACCCTCCAATGCCTCTTTATCTCTAAGGATGACAAAAAAATTATGTCGATTCAAGATCCTACTAGCCTTGACCTGAACGGGGCAAAATAGGTATGGATTGTCCCGCCCTGCTCCGTTTACATTCTTTAAAAAATGTTATATTTGAAAGATAAAAAAAAAAGAAACAAAAAGAAAACAAGTAATATATATTAAATATTAAACGAGGTAGTAAATGGGACAAAAGAATGCCCCATCCAGCCACCGAATTTGGACCCATCATGTCTTAAGCGGCATAGGATAGGGCCGAATGGTCGCCCCGCTCGACACTATTTATCTCTTGTGAAATTGCTCAAGGAGTGGGATTATTTCGGAAACATATTTGGCATTGCGAACAGACTCGAATCACTATCCCCATTAGATCTAGGTGTAGGCCTAAAAGCCACAACTATGTTTCGAGGTTGTTTCACTCAAAAAAATAAAAAAAAAAAGGGTTCCATGTAGATGAAGTTTTTTAAAAGATTAATTTTATCATTTTTCCCCTCCAAAAGAATGTCTTTATAGATATGA